TTATTCTTTTTGGACTATTGTGAATGGGACTGATCTTAAAAGCTCTTTCTCAGCCATGACATTGTGTATGCAAAGGCTATTCACTTTTAAGTGTTGACTTTATTTCCTGCCACTTTACCAAACTCTTTTAGGAATACCAAGTCTCTGAATCTTGAGTCTTCTGGATCTTCTATATGTAGGATCATGTCATCCTCAAATAGGGACTTCCTCATTCCCAATTTGTATCCCTTTGATTTCTTTTTCTTGCCTAATGGCTTCTGCTAAAACCTCCAGACTGTATTCAGTAGCAGTGGTGAGAGTGGGCATCTTAGGTTCTGGATCTCAGTGGGAATGCTTCCAGCTTTACCCCATTCAATAGGACGCTGGCCATGGGTTTGTCACAAATTGCCTTGATTATGTTGAGGAATGTTCCTTCTAGTCCCAATTTGCTGAAGGTTTTCATCATGAAAGGATGTTGTATTTTATCAGATGCTTTCTCTGCATCTATTGAGATAACTATACATTTTTTTCAGTTTATTAATTTTATTGATTGGCAAATGTTGAGCCATCCTTGCATATCTGGGGATAAATCCCACTTAGTCGGGGAGAGTGATCTTTCAGATGTGTTGTTGGATTTTATTAGTTAGTATTCTGTTGAGGATTTTTGTTTGTATGTTCATCAGGGAAATTGATCTGTAGTTCTTCTCCGCTGCATCTTTTTCAAGTTTAGGAATTAAGGTGATGCTGGCTTCATAGAAAGAATTTGGGAAGATTCCCTCCCTTTCAGTTGTTTTGAATGGCTTGAGAAGCACTGGAGTTAGTTCTTCAAATGTCTGGTAGAAGTCATCCATGAAGACATCTGATCCTGGGCTTTTCTTTGCTGGGAAGGCCTTTATTACTGATTCAATGTCCATCTTGGTTATTGGTCTGTTTAGGTTTTCTCTGTCTTCATGGCTCAATGTAAGTAGGTTGTATGTGTCCAGGAATCTGTCATTATTGGCATACAGCTCTTTGTAGTAATTTCTGATGATTTTTAGTTCTGTGGTATTGTTATCATTCCATTTTCATCTCTGTTGTTTTGGGTTGTCTCTCTCATGTTTTTGGTTACTTGGGCCAATGGCGTGTCAAAATTTTTTTTAAACCACCTGAAAGTTTTCGCTTTTTTTTGGGTTCATTGTTTGTTTTGGGGGGGGGGGTTTCCAATTTTGTTTATTCTCTAATTTTAATTATTTCTTTTCTACCAGTTTTGGGTTTGATTTGCTGTTTTTCTAGGTCCTTGAGATGCATTAATAGTTCATTTTTTGGTGCCTTTCCAATTTCTTGATGAAGGCATCAATTGCTATAAACTTTCCTCTTAACACTGCTTTTGCTGTATCCCATGAGTTTTGATGTGTTGCATTGTCACTTTCATTAGTTTCCAGAAATTTCCAAAAATTTTTTTGATTTCTCTTTTGATTTCTTTGACCCACTGTTAATTCAGTGGGTCATAAAAGAAATAGATCAAATGATCTATAGATCTATATATATGATCAAATAGATCATTCAGACACATTCAGTCTCTGTGTGTTTACATATGTTCTAGAGATGCTTCAGTTGTTGATTTCTGGCTACATTCCATAGTGGTTAAAGAAGATGCATGGTATGATTTCTATGTTTTTGAATTTGCTGAGACTTGCTTTGTGGCCTAGTATGTGGTCTATCCTAGAGTTCCCTGCGAATGTGTATTTTGCAATGGTAGGATGAAAAGTTCTGTATATATCTATTCAGTCCATTTTGTCTATAGTGCTGATTAACTCTGCTTACTGATTTTCTGTCTGGTTGATCTTTCCATTGCTTAAAGTGGGATATTGAAGCCCCTCATTACTATTGGAGTCTATGTCTCTATTTAGATCCCTTAACATTTCTTTTAAATAGCCAAGTGCCCTATAATTAGGTGCATATATGTTTATAATAGTCACTTCTTCCAGTTGAATTGATCCTTTAATCATTACAGAGTGCCCTTCTTTCTTTCTTTTGACAGTTTTTGTGTTAAAGTCTATTTTGTCTGATATTAGGATGGCTACACCAGCTCTTTTTTGGTTTCTGTTAGCGTGCAATATCTTTTTCCATCCTTTCGCTTTTCAGTCTGCATGTATCTTCATTGGTGAAATGTGTTTCTTGTAGGCAGGAAATAGGCGAGTTTTTTTTAACCAGTCTTTGTCTTGACTGGAGAGTTGAGACGGTTTACATTCAAGGTGATTGTTGATAAGTAATGACTTTTCTCTGCCATTTTTCCATAAATATTCCTATTGTTTACTTTGTATTTCTTTTGTACTTTTTACTGGGGAATTTTCTGCCTTTACTTTCTTTCCTAGTGATGGTTATTTTTCTGCATTTCTATGTGTAACACATCCTTAAGCATCTTTTGTAAGGCTGGAAAAGTGGCAACAAATTCTTTCAATTTCTGTTTATTATGGAGAGTTTTTATTTCGCCATCATTCATAAGTGAGAGCTTTGTGGGTTATAGTGTTCTGCATTAACAGTTGTTTCTCTTAAGACTTTGAATATATCTCACCATTTTCTTCTAACCTGCATAGTTTCTGATAAGTCATCTATTAGTCTAATTGGAGATCCTCTGAAAGTCATCTGGCGTTTCATGCACATTTTAGAATCTTCTTTATGTTTTACTGCGGTGAGTTTGATTCTAATATGTCGTGGTGAAGATCTCTTTCAGTCATGCCTATTAGGAGTTCTGTCTTTCTTATACTTGGGCCTCCTTTTCTTTCTTCAACTGGGGAAGCTTTTTGTAATTATTTCACTAAAAAGGCCTTCTAACCCTTTCTCTTTCCACACCTTCAGGAACTCCTAAGAACTCTATGTTGGATTGTTTGATAGTATCCCATAAATCTCCAGCACTGGTTTTTAGTTTTCTAATTTCTTTTTTTTTTAGTCTAAAATTTCCAAAGATTTTTTCTTCTAACTCGGATATTTCTTCTGCCCCCTGAGTCTGTTGTAAAGGCTTTCCTCTGCATTTTTTATTTGATCTATTGAATTCTTCATTTCCAGTATTTCATCTTGATTGCTCTTCAACATCTCAATTTTGGAAAAAGCTTTCATTCATCATGTATGGATTTCTTTAATTTGTGGATTAGCTTCTGATTATTTCTAAGTAATCCTGAGATCAGGGTTTTTTTTGTTTTGTTTTTGTTTTTTTTAAAGATTTATTTATTTGAAAGCCAGACAGAGAGAAAGGTCTTCCATCCTCTGGGTCACTCCCCAGATGGCCGCAACGGCCGGAGCTGAGCTGATCTGAAGCCGGGAGCCAGGAGCTTCTCCCGGGTCTCGCACGCGGGTGCAGGCGCCCAGGGACTTGGGCCATCTTCTACTGCTTGAGGCGTTTGTTGGGTGTGTGTGTAGTTAAGGAGCGCTGTTCAATGCTCTAGGGAATGTCCAGGGTGACACCCAGTGGGGTGTGGTAATTTTTTTTCTTATCAGAGGGGAGGTGTGCTGTGGTCTGTTGGTGTAGCCTCACGCTTACCTCCTCTCCTGCAAGAAGCTAGCCTCAGTGAGTGCAGTACCCGTCCATGCTGCCAGAACCACACAGAGCATCCGTGCAGTTCCCGGTGTGAGTGCGGAGCCTGCAGCAATGACTCACTGAGGAGTCACGGAGCCCTGAGCATGTGGAGCCTCCCCAGCGGCTGCCTGGAGACCCAGCCCACCCTGCCTTCCCACACAGCCAGTGTCTTCACAGTCCTGCGACACGAGCACCCAGCCTCCTGTCAGCTCTTCCCGCCACACTCTGGCTTCTCCCCTTGGCTGGTTGCTGGGTGCGTGGACACAAACTGGTGAGCTCTTAGGTGTATCCAAAATGGCGTCCGCCCTCTAATCAGCAGTTACAGGATGCTGTGTTGGGTGGTCGGGGAGAGAGAAACGTGCCCTTTTTTCCCCTCTAGGTCAGCAGGTATACTGCCCCCTACAGGACTCCAAGCCAGACTCGCACCAGGCTCTTCCTGTAGCTTTGTTGTAGGTGGCCTGGGCTGTTGCAGTCTGGTCTCGCCTCACAGCAGAGCTGGTGCGGAGGTTCTCGGCTCCTGGGTCCTTAGTGTGGGCATCCACACCCTCCATGTTGATCTGTGGTGTCCCTCTAATTTGTGTGGCGTTTCTGCTGCCATTTTCTCCCTGACTCTTCCTTGAGATTGCACTTTGGCCTTTTTTTTTCAGCCATCTTCCCCCAGCCTAGAGCAGTAACATTCCACCATCTTGAAAACCTTGCAGGTAGTTCATTAATGTGAGTCTTATCTCGTCGGTTTCCTCCTGCAGCATTCGGGGGTGTTCACCATGGACTTCGGGATCTGTACGGTGCTCCCCTCCCTCCTTCCGGTCTCCTCTCGAGTCACATTCCCTCCAGTCGGTCATCAGCCCGGAGGTGCTGAACGTTCATGACCGGAAAATCCTCAGGAGGGTCAGGTGTCTGGTGCAGTGGTTAGGGTGCTGCTTGGGCTTCCCCATCCCATAGCCCCGTACTGGAGGTGTGGTTTGATTCTCAGCTCCTCTGTAACATGTAACAATATGCGTGAGTCTCACAGCATGCTGTTGAGTGGAAGCCAAACAGAAATGGGTCAACATGCATAATGGCTGGTTACATTTCTAGATAATTCACAGCAGGGAAACCTTACCTGTTGTATTAGTCATCGAGATAGCTGTCAGGGTACTAATAGGGCCTGGGGTGCTGTTAGTGTTCTGTTTCATAATCGAGAGCTGGGTATACAAGTGTGTTCTGTTTGTAAAACTTTACTGAATTTTATACTTATAGTTTGTGAATTGTTTTGTCTGCGTATTAAGTTTCAAAAATTCATATTGGGAGGATGTCAAAAGGTATCTGGCAGCTTTCTAGTCTATTTCTACTAAGAGAGTCAAGGTTACTACTGTATCCAGAGTTCTTGGCTAACTGCTGGCTTTATTAGTCTTGCCCTTCTTGTCTTCCTCCAAGCATCTAAAATGAATGTGTGTGATCTGCACAGTAACGTTGTGACTTCCCTTAGGCAGTGGCTGATGAAGAAATTGCTGCCCTTCCCCGGGATAGCTGTCCCGTTAGGATCAGAAACCGCTGTGTGATGACGTCCCGGCCACGTGGTGTGAAGCGGCGCTGGAGGCTCAGTCGCATCGTCTTCCGTCACTTAGCCGACCACGGGCAGCTCTCTGGGGTGCAGCGAGCAATGTGGTAGATCGGGTGCAGGGGCTCCAGCTCTGGAAAAGAGACTGTTCTAACAGTCGGAACCGTAGCTGTCTGGCGGACCTGATGCTGCCCGTGAATTCCTGTGAAGTGTGTTAAATGAAGAAATGCGAAGTCTAACAGATTCAGTATACTGCTCCCATCCGTGGTACAGAGAGTAGACCAATAAAAAGTACTTCCTGTGAACATATGCTGTGTACACTTTCCTTTTCCTTCAAACGTGATATGTAACTCTAAGGGCTTCTGTATTAATACAGTGCAGTATCATAACACAGTATTATGGAGAATTCAGCTAATTGATAGGCAGCGCATTCATGATAGTTTGTGGTCCTGGTTCACCTCACTGTTAGTTTTCGATAGAGAAGCAGTATGTTGGAAGGTAAAGCTGATGTTCTGGGTCACGTAACCGAACAAAAGAACCACCGAGTGTTTCCTTGTTCAGCCTAATTAAGGACCTTCAGAATTAAAGGTGTCTCTCTCATCCTCTGAAAATCTATCCAGAGAGGAAAAGCTTGGTTGGGTTAGGATGTATAACAGAAATGAGTATAAGAATAGCAAACAGTTCTCTCATGCAGTAACTCAACAAAATATGTAAGAATACTTCTGAATGAGTGTTTTGGTACGGAAACTTTCAGAGTCCAGGAGGAGTTTCTTGACAATGTGCGTTTTCATGAAATTCGATACCCTGCCCGTGCGTGGATTTGCACCAAAATAAACTGAGTTTCACTTCCCGTGAACTCTGCTGAGCCTGCTTGTACTTGGTGGTACGGAAGCAGCTACTTAACAGCAGGCAGTATTCGTGGGATGACACCTGATGGCACAGGTAGATCAGGAGGTGGGGGAAGGGGAGATCTTTGCCGTGGGGACAAGCAAGGACTGCATCTAACAAAACCTGTAGTCACTTCAGGGGGTCAGAATAGGCGCAAGATGGGGGCCTTATGGAGAGTCTCCTGTAAGGCAGGACTTGAGTTGCATGCAGGGTTGGAGGAGTGTTTGAAGCAATGAGGGCGTCACCCGTTGCTCTGCAGGTCCTGGACGGCTGTGGTAGAAGCCATGAGCAGCAAAGGTGCGGGCCAGACAGCCGGTCAAGGTGCCTTCTGCACAGGAAGATGGGGGCTGACCAGGGCAGAAGGGAGGATGCGGTTTGTTTCTTTTTCAGTGAAAACACGGTAGCAAGGTTTATTGGGATAGGGCATGGGACAGAATCCAAGAGAATGCCCAGTCACTCGGACTTGGGGAGAACAGGGTTACCTGGTTAAATGGAGAGAATATATCTGGCCTGCCAGGTGGCTCAGCGTGCAGCATTGTTCAGACTGGGATTTATAAGGGACTCCAGGACAAAGGGTGTGCTTAGCGTAAATTAGGGAAAATTCCTCCCAAGGGTTTACTGCTCGGTGCTATGAGACGGGGGAGCCCACCTGGCCCTGGCAGATCCCCGAGACCCCTGCCTTGGAGGAGGCTGTGAAGGTTGTGCTGCTCCGTGTTACAGGCCAGGTAGCCAGTCTGTGCTGAGGAGAGAGGACTGTGTGCTGCTCCGTGTTACAGGCCAGGTAGCCCGTCTGTGCTGAGGAGAGAGGACTGTGCTGGGAGCCCTCCTTGGGGGAGGGCTGAGACCACCTGCAGAGGCTGTTGCCTTCTTTTTGGAACAAAGGTTGGTTCCCCCCATGCCCCTCACACACACAGGCTAATCTCTAACCTCCTACATATAAGCTTCCTACAATAAGCTGCATTGGAAGCAGGCAACCCAGACTCCAACTGGCACTGACATGGGATGCTGATGTCACAGGGGGCGACCAACTTGCTGTGCCACAATGCTGACCCCTTGGAAAAAAAATTTTTTTTTTTGAAAAATTGAAAATGATTATATTTCATATCTTGTCTTTTTTGACATCAAGCTAGTTATTCATCAAAAGATATATAGGGGCAGGCATTCAGTGCTTGGAACAGCTGCTCCCCTTATCAGAGTGCCTGACTCGAGGCCTGGCTGCTCAGGCTTCCATCCAGCTTCCTGCCAGTGCACACACTGGAGGCAGCAGGGTCCCTACCACCCAAGTGGGAGAACCCGGTAGAACTGGTTCCTGGCTCCTGCCTGGCTCAGCATAGCTGCTGTGCCATCTGGGGCGTTACCAGCAGATGGAAGATCTCTTTGTCACCATGTCTTTTAAAAGGATTTATTTATTTATTTGAAAGAGTTACACAGAGGAGAGGCAGAGAGGTCTTCCATCTGCTGGTTCAGTCCCCAACTGGCCGCAATGACCGGAGGAGCTGTGCCAATCCAGAGCCAGGAGCTTCTTCCAGGTCTCCCATGCGGGTGCAGGGTCCCAAGGACTTGTGCCATCTTCTTCTGCTTTCCCAGGCCACAGCAGAGCTGCATCGGAAGTGGAGCAGCCGGGACTGGAACCAGCATCCATAAGGATGCTGGCACTCTGGCAGGCAGTGGTTTTACCCGCTACGTCGCAGGGCCATGCCTTTCAAATAAAAATTAACTTGTCTAATCTGCAGATTAGGGATGCATGCTATGGTGTGACTGTGTTCTTCAGGACATTATGCCGTAGGCAGCTATCCCCCCGGGGTGGGGTCAGTACCCACGTTAAAAGTGCTCCAGGGAGTTCCTACCTTTTGCTCTGCCACCTCGTGAGGACACTGAAAGCCGCAGGCAAGCCCTTACTAGGCTCCAACACTGTGAGCTAAATCTCCAGCATTTACAGATTACCCAGTCTGAGATAAATGTTTAATTACAGTGGACTGAAACCATGAATTAGGCTTGTTTCAAACTTTAGGACTTCAAAAATATGACATAAAAGGTCCATTTGCAGGAGCATCACTTCTGTCCCAGCGGCCGGCCTTCCTTCCTCTATTGGTAACAAACTTTTGGTTTTTGGTTTACCCTTCCAGTTCTTGAAACACAAGCAAACCTAAGGGCAAAATGGGTGTCCACATTTCTAGCCCTTCCCTACTCCCTCACAGAGGTGGTATGCACACCAGCGTTTACCACACTGCCTTCCCACTTAGGCTGTACTGCTGACCATCAGTGCACAGCGCCCACCTTTTTGCGCCTTGATCCAGCTGGTTCCCTGTTGACAGGTGTCTCGACATTTGCCACTGTATCTTTAAAAAATTCACTTGAAGGATGGAGTTAGAAGAGAGACCTTCCATCCCCTTTTCACTTTCCAAATGGCTGGGCCAGGTGGAACCAGGAGCTTCTTCCAGGTCCCCCCTGTGGGTGCATGGGCTGGAGCACTTGGGCCGTCCTCCACTGCTTTCCCAGGTGCATTAGCAGGGAGCTGGATCAGAGGTGGATCAGAGGTGGAGCAGCCAGGACTCAAACTGGCACCCACATGGGAAGCCTGTGCTGCAGGTTGCAGCTTGGCCACTGTGTCACAGCACTGCCCCAGGCTAGACTTTCAGGTCAGAGGCTAAGTGACTGATTATGGTTGGCATTACCAAGTACTTTCCAGTTTTAACCTTTTCATTTCACTGCCCCGTATATGTCCCTATTTCTCCACAGCCTCAATCCTCCAGTGTGTCAAACTACTGGGTTTTTTCAGTGACTGTTAAGAATGTTTTGTGTTTCAGTGTTACTCTTCTGAACAAGAGGAGTGTCCTTACATTTCTTTGCCCATGAACTTCTGTTCCCAAGTAGTAGTTTTCTCACATGCATTATCTGTTTTTGGTTATGGTGGGGGTTTTCTTACCACATAAACACTTATTTTATGTAGTTAAAACTGATCACCATTTAATATTACTCCCCCACTTAGGTTATAATGGAGGTCCATCCCTGTCTTCTGTCCCTGTGTACTTTTTTTACATCGAGATCTTTAGGTATTTATAGTTATCAATATCATTAAAAACCCTTCTTCCCTCAAGTGTTCTGAAACGCTGCCAAAACTTCCGTATCCTAAGTGCCCACTGTTTTCCACTGGTCTGGTTTTCCTGGCCCACGTCAGTAAGCCGTTTCTGCATGCTTACTCTGAATCCCACCACTTCCACAGATCCTATTAATGTTAGATTTTTCCTTTTTGTGTCTAATTGCATATTCAAAACTATACTGGCTAACACATCCAGGACAGTACAGTAATGCAGATCACAGGCACTTTGCCCTGGCTCCTTACTTTTGGGGTAAATAAAACAATCCTCCCCTAAAACTCTGGCTTCTCTGACATACTCCCAGACAAACAGATAGTAAAACTATTCTGTTACATAAAAATCTAACTTTATTGAACACAGGAATAGATGGAATTTTGCTAGAACTATACAGAGATGCTTGTGTATTCTTGTTTATAAACAAACCTATATTCACACAAATACCAGAGCCTAGATGGGAACATTTGTGGTTGGTCTGTAGTACACGGCAATAATGCACGACATACACACTCAAGATGGAGGCAGCGCTCAGCCACTCGACGGCAACTTTTAAGCACAGGAAGGTGGCTTTTACGCAGAAATGCAGGTTTCACTCTTAGGCATTTTCTTACACTGATGGGAGCTGACGTCAGTAAAGACAAGCAAGTATGTTTGTGTTCTACCTCATGACAAAAATACAATGCAGCATCTCATCAGGCTTTTTCTATGAGAATGCAGTATAACCCTTTCTGAAGCCGAGAGACCACAGAACTGAATGAAACCACCTTTAGAGGAAGCGTTTAATGAGCACATTTTATTTAAATACATCCTCCAGCAGGAGATGGAGAATCACTGCCTCTCCTTACAGGGTATGTGAGTAGTTATCTGTCGAGTTACATCCGCAGCGCAGCGACATCCCCTTGTTGGAAAGGTCGGTACTTCCACACCACAGTTCCAACAGGACTCGAGTCTCAAAATTCCGTGTCTCCTTTGGCTTGCTTCTCTCTCGATTCCACCCAGGCTTTATTAATAGTTCGCTTCATGTCGTCATCTCCATCTTCGTAGATTTTCTTCAGCACATTCATCAGTCCCTCACTAGGGTCTGCTTCTGTGTCGTAGGAGGGCTTTCTGTTAAAGCAGGGGAATGGAGACATCAGAGCACGAGCAGACACAGCGAGGCTGTTAGGAGCGGTAGAAGTAGGGGGAGGGGATGAGCTATCCAAACCAGCACCTACCAGAGAGGCGCATACTTAACTCATGGAACAGCAGTCCCCAAAGTAAGATCCAGACAGTGGGATCTCAGGAGATTTTTAGATAAAATAAGCATGTACCTGTTTTGATTTTTCAAAGCTAGTTCCTCACGAGTTGGGGAAAACACAAACATATTACACAGAGATGCATAATGAAGCTCATGCTTCCCAACTGGAGAAGCTGTCTTTTAGGGGTGGATATGAGGCCTGATGGTTAAGATGCTGCTTGGACAGCTGCATCCCACATCAGACTGCCTGGGCTGAAGTCCCAAGTCTGCTCCTGGTTCCAGTATCCTGCTAGTGTGCACCCATGGCGCTGGGTCCAGGAGTAAGTCCCCGGCTTTGGCCTGGCCATTGTAGGCATCGGTGGAATGAACCAGTGGATAGCAGCATGCTCTCTAAGCCTTCGTAAGCCTGAAATCCACGGTTTTGGGCATAGTGACCAGAATGGTCTTTAATGTATGTAGGAGTACTTTTAAATGTTCAAACTAGGCCAATTAACCTTTTATTTAATTACATTAAAAATTTATTAGAAAGTTCATCTACTGGTTCATGAGCTGGGAACTGAATCTGAGGCTCCCACATGAATTCAACTTATTAGTGCCAGAGTCTGTACTGGGCACCGTACTTGAGTAACCCTGTACTTGAGTAACTCAATTCTACAGACAAGTCTGATATAGCAGATTCCGGCTAGCCGCATCCCAAATGCATGCTGGCTTACATAAGCAGCACTGACTCCAGGGATTACAGGGTACTCAAGAGGTACAACTGGGCTAGAACAGAAGTATCTTTGAATCAGGTTTATTTGGAAGTCAGAGTGACTAATCTTCCATAACTGGGTGGCTACAATGGCCAGGAGCTTCTTCCAGGTCTCCTATGTGGGTGGCAGGGGTCCAACCACTTAAGCCATCTTCTACTTTTCTCAGGCCCTTGAGTGGAACAACTGGGACATGAACCAGTGCCCATATGGGATGCTAGCATTGCAGGTGGCGATTTTACCCGCTATGTCACACTGTTGTAAAGCTGTCTTTAGGCCGGCGCCGTGGCTCACTAGGCTAATCCTCCGCCTAGCGGTGCTGGCACACCGGGTTCTAGTCCCGGTTGCCCCTCTTCCAGGCCAGCTCTCTGCTGTGGCCCGGGAGTGCAGTGGAGGATGGCCCAAGTGCTTGGACCCTGCACCCGCATGGGAGACCAGGAGGAAGCACCTGGCTCCTGGCTTCGGATCGGCGCGGTGCGCCAGCTGTGGTGGCCATTTTTGGGGGGGTGAACCAATGGAAAAGGAAGACCTTTCTGTCTACTCTGCCTGTCAAAAAAAAAAAAAAAAAAAAAAGCTGTCTTTATTAGGAAAGGTAATATTCCTGCCATCCACTTGGGAGGGCTCCACAAACTCCTGGCTTTGGCCTGGCCCTGGCTGTTGCGGCCATTTTGGGAGTGACCCAGCGGACGGAAGCTCTCCAACTGTGACTTTCAAATAATAAAAGAAACATGTTGCCTACTTGACACAGGCGTTCTTTAAGGACAGAGTAAGTCATGGCCTTGTCACTGACTACCTCGCTCTCCTCTGTAAAGCACACTGCCGATGTAAACTCACTCTTTTTCTTTGCACTCTTTTTCAACCTGGGTCAGGTAGTCCCATCGGGTGTTCTCTGCTTTTTTCCTACATAAGATCAGAACTGTGTCCGTCTTGACCTGGAAGAAAAGCAGGTACAGCTCAGAGCACGTGTAGACAGGCGTGAACAGCAGCAAACAGTTACTCACTCAATCCTCCTGGGCTTGCACTGGTGCTGGCAGTGCCTTTTCAAAGTCTGTGAAGTAAAACCTGAGTGCCTCCCAACAGTAACACGTGCTAGGAAGGCAGGAATCCAGGCTCTGCGGGAAGGGCCTTCTGGGCCGGTGCAGCAGCCTGGCAGAATGGCCCTGAGATGGAGAGAGCCTGGTCCTGAGTGGTTGGAGGGACGAGTACAATAGGAAAGGGGGGAGGCATAGGCAGGTAACAGACGACACAAGGCAGCAGGGGAGGGGAGGAGGGGAGAGAGAGAAAAGAGCAACACATCTTCCCACAACCGTCAGTTTAAGTCCTAGGAGCCCTCTGAGTGTCCCTTCAGTGTGCAATCAGCGGATGGAGAAGGTGCAGTGAGACACACACGTGACTTAACCTGCTACGTAACTATGCAGAGGATGCCATGTCTTACCACATACAGTAAGCCTCATTCATTCAAGTGAGAAGAGAGGTATGGTCTGAACTAGTGCAAAGTATGCATGGTCTTTAGAAAGGCAGCTCCGTTATTTTAACAGATTCTAGCAACTCCAATTAGGCTAAGTGCTTAGTACTACCTTATCCACAGTGCGCCTATGAATAGCTACTGTTAACTTAAGCACTCTCATGTGTCATTCGACCTTTGTGAAATTGTTACCAATGTGCAAAAGGGAAAACTGAGGCACAGAGAAAGTAAACTGCCAAAGCTTGAACAACGTGTAAATTATAAAGCTGGTATTAAAATTCAAGTCTCACCCTTAAGCACTTCCGAAGTTATTTCTCTCCTGATTGCAATATTCTTACAATCAGCTGACAAACATTTTTCTGTAATATTTAAGGTTTCATAGGCTGCAACTACTCGGTACAACTCATAACCAAGTAAGCAGGGCTATGTCATTGCTGGTCGCTGTTAAAGCAAAGTTAACCCTAGTTCATTTCAATTGTAAAGCATCCAGATTACATAACACTATGACCAAAAAGGGGGAAGAAACTCACTTTTTTTGAACTGCCTTCCACAGAGATAGGTTTCAACAGATTGTTCACAATCATGGAGTAATTCTTGCCATTTAAGTTCTTTACCAAAAGATCAAATGACCTGTAACACAATCAGGAATACATCACCTTTGTGGTTTCTTGTGAAAACACCTACCAGCTTTTTTCAGGGTCCACACTTGGCCAAAGTCCCTCCTGATGACCCCCGTCTTTCCCATCACGATGACTCACCGCTCTGTGAAATGCACCTGCACACTCTCCGTGGGAACGTGATGAACTCCAGGTAGAGTAATGTAGATTTTCACAAACTTATCTGACTGATCCCATCCTAACAGGAAAGAAGGGACACAGTCAGACCTCCCCCATTAGAACAGCAGATGCATACCACTCATCATAAAACTCAGTTTTTATGTTTGTTACTGGCTCCTCATTTTTATTTCACTAAGAAATTTTTCTAGCTATAGAAAAACTCTCCCCAAAGTTAGGTATCTACTAAGTGGTAAAACTTAATTAGCCTTCGTGTTCATTAACCTGATTTTGAATCTATGTTCTTTTTATTCTTTGGAATACATGGTCTTTAAGATGAGCTTATTTATCTTTTTATGGAACTACTTTTGTCCTACACCTATGTATTAATTCTTCACCAAGCTAGCAGGCTGCTGCTGCTGCCCAATCAATTCTACTTCTCTCGATTTCTTTCCAGCACAAGCCAGAATATGAATTTAACAACACTTCTGTTCTTTAGTCAGACTTCTTAGTTTGACTAACATAGTAAAAGCCATTGCAGTAGAAGCTATCAAACTCTTAAGTCTCTGTCACAATAAAAATTTACCAGCTTCATTTAAGAAGCATACTCCATGCAAAATACGTACAAGTATCTGCATATCCTGCTGCCCAGTCCTCCAGGATAATCAGAAAGGATGCCTGGTGGAGTTCTGCACAACTCATCTAACGCCTCACCACTGACTCAATCCAGCGTCTACACTGACAGCAGTTTCTCCCATACATGCCATCATCCTAGAGGCTGGCATCCCATGTGGTGCCAGTTCGTGTCCCGACTGCTCCACTCCACTCCAAAGCAGCAGAGGACCCAAGTGTCTGGGCCCTGCCATCCACATGGGAGATCTGGATAAGCGCCTGGCCCAGCCGCTGCAGCCCTCTGGGGGATAAACCAGCGATGGAAGGCGTCTCTGTAACTGTTCCAAATAAATAAAACCCCGATCCTCCTTACCTCCTCCAGACAGATTCCTAGAGTCATGGGCGTGCAGTGTCTCACGGCACCCAATGCGTCTCCTGAGTGGGAGACACACCGCCTCCTGCTGTGCCTTTAAGTCGCGCGCACGTCTCTGCTCACTGTTCCCCTCCTTGGCCACTTGCTAAAACCTCCTGAAACGTCAATGTCTCCTCCAATTCTACTTATCTCCAGAATTATTTCTTCAGCTACATTCTCATAATATTTTAAAATCTCTACTGAAGGGCTGGTGTTGGTGGCCCAACAATTAAAGCTGCCACCTGCGGTGCCGGCATCCCATATGGGCACTGGTTAAAGTCCCAGCTGCTCCACTTCTGATCCAGCTCCCTGCTGTGGCCTGCGAGACCAGTGAGGGACAGCCCAAGTCCTTGGGCCCCTGCGCCTGTGTGGGAGACCCAGAAGAAGCTCCTGGCTCTGGACTGGCTCCGCTCTGGCTTTTGCAGCCATCCGAGGAGTGAACCAGCAGATGGAAGACCTCTCTCTCTGCTTCTGCATCTCAAATAAACAAAATCTTTAAAAAAAAAATCTCCACTGAACCTGGTTAAGCAAATACCATGAAGCAGCTACTATGTGATGGATCTATGGCTGCCCCTTACAAGACAGTTCATGGCTCAGATGCAAGCTGCCATTTCCAAACAAAAAACTTACATTCCATCAAGAAAAAAGTTTGCCTACATTATTACAGTATTAGTTGTATGTTTATGTCCTAATCAGACACTAAGCAGGAACTGGCTTTTAGTCACTACTATGTATCTACGTATTTAAGCACAATAATGGCTCAAAAATATTTCTTTTCCTTTTCTCAGTTAACTTTGGTAGTACATTTGATGAAATGTACAAAATGACCTAAACAGCTGTGTTCCATACATAGTGTATTTCAGAATAGTCTGTTGTTCTTGCCAGTTATCATCGTTGTGTTAAATCTCCTTATTTTCTTTAGTAATCTAGAGTGTATCCTTTCCTTTTTATCTAATAAAAATACAAAGCACCTTATTCAAGAGAAACTGATGAGTGTTCTAAGATACCAAAACATTCAAAATATTTTAAAAAATCAGTTTGTTGGGGCCGGCGCTGTGGCGCAGCGGGTTAACACCTTGGCCTGAAGCGCTGGCATCCCATATGGGTGCCGGTTCTAGTCCCGGCTGCTCCTCTTCTGATCCAGCTCTCTGCTATGCCTGGGAAAGCAGTGGAAGATGGCCCAAGTCCTTGGGCCCCTGCATCCGCATGGGAGACCTGGAAGAAACTCCTGGCTTCGGACTGGCGCAGTTCCGGCCATTGCGACATTTTGGGGAGTGAACCAGCAGATGGAAGATTTCTCTCTCTCTCTCTGCCTCTCCTCTCTCTGTAACTCTGACTTTCAAATAAATAAATAAAAGTATTTTAAAAAATCAGTTTGTCAATGGATGACTACTGAGGCATAAACTGCTTACAGACAGAAATCACCAAATGCACGGGACAAGTCATACCGTAATTACTGATCTTCACTGTATAGCCCGTTGTAATGGGAGCAACCACAGCAGCCGGCTTTTCATTGTCAAGTTCTGTTTTGCTCTGTGGCTTCTGCTGCACCTTGTTCTTGATCTCTGTCTCAATCTTGGATTTCTCTGCTGTAAGGGCATCATGGATTCTTTTCCTAGTAGTCTTTTCCAGCAACGCCTTCACCTCTTCTAGATCCTTCTGTAGCTGCATTAAAATAAAAGGTGAGTCAGTGAGGATAAATAAGGCGTATCATTTCAAATTACTAGAATTCTGGGATTGAGCTACAACTTTACTTGCTCCACTGTAAGTAACTCAAGCTGTTGTTTTTTAAACATTTAGTGTCCTTTCAAGATAGTTTTATTCATTAATTGGTCTTTAAGGCAGAGTGACAGAGAGATTCTTTCACCTGCTGGTTCACTCCCCAAAAGGTGGCAACATCTTCCATCCATCCACTGTTCTACTCCCCGATGACTGCAACAGCCACGGCTGGACCAGACCCAGGAAGCTGGCAAACCAGGCATTTTTATATGGCATTCAGGTCCCCAAGTTAGGCTGCTGCACCACAACACCCACTCTGCAGATTTTTTTTTTTTTTTTTTTTTTGGACAGGCAGAGTGGACAGTGAGAGAGAGACAGAGAGAAAGGTCTTCCTGTGCCGTTGGTTCACCCTCCAATGGCCGCTGCGGCCGGCGCACCGCGCTGATCCGATGGCAGGAGCCAGGAGCCAGGTGCTTCTGCTGGTCTCCCATGGGGTGCAGGGCCCAAGCACTTGGGCCATCCTCCACTGCACTCCCTGGCCACAGCAGAGAGCTGGTCTGGAAGGGGGGCAACCGGGACTAGAACCCGGTGTGCCAGCGCCGCTAGGCGGAGGATTAGCCTAGTGAGCTGCAGCGCCGGCCCCACTCTGCAGATTTTAGTAAAAGTAATTCAGAGGCTGGTGCTGTGGCATAGCGGGTAAAAGCCGCTGCTGCGTGCAGTGCCAGCATCCCACATGGGTGCCAGTTCTAGTCTTGGCTGCTCCACTTCTGATCCAGCTTCCTGCTATGGCCTGGGATAGCAGTGAAAGATGACCCAAGTCCCTGGGCCCCTGTACCCAGGGGAGACCCGGAGGAAACTCCTGGCTTCGGGGGAGTGCACCAGCAGATATAAGACTCCCCACCCCACCCCTCACCCCCACCCCGGTCTAACTTTTTCAAGTACGTAAGTAAAATCTTTTTTAACAAAAAGTAATTCAGGGGAGCTGTGGTGTAGCGGGTAAAGCCGCTGCCTGTAGTGCCCGCACCCCATATGGGCGCCAGCTGCTCCACTTCCACTTCTCTGCCGTGGCCTGGGAAAGCAGTAGAGGATGGCACAAGTCCTTGGGCCCCTGCACACGCGTGGGAGACCCGGAAGAATTTCCTGGCTTCAGATCCTCACAGCTCGGGCTGGGGAGTGAACCAGCGGACCCCTCCTGCTGCCTCTGCCTTCAAATAAATCTTTAAAAAAAAAAAAAATGGAATTCAGACATTTCCCTATAACATCAGTTTTAGAGTCATCAGATGTTAGAATTTCTTAAGAGATTACAGAATCCACACTGACATAACCCCACCATGGTCAATGACCAGTCTTCACTGATCCTCCTACCCCAAATAAAAAGCTGGTATTTTAAAGACAAAATAATTAAAAATAAACAACAAACAACCCTCTGGGCAGGCACCATCGTATACAGGGAGTTACTCTACCACACTGCCTATCAGAGTTCAAGTCCCGGCTGCTCTGCTTCCAATCCAGCTCCCTGCCAACGCATCTTGGGAGCAGCAGATGGCGGCCAGTATCTCTGTGGGAGAGCTGGCTAGAGCTCCAGGCTCCTGGCTTTGGTCTAGCCCAGCCATGGCTGCTTCAGCCATCTGAGTAGAGAAATATTAGAGGGAAGATCCCTCTTCTCTGCTTTCAAGTAAGTAAAAACACACACTTCAAGTCAATACATCACCTACTGAAATAACTGTACTCTCCATGGAGATTCAGCAAAGATTTTATGAAGTTCCTTAGTTGAAGACACTGTTAGAAAATTAATGAACTGGGCTCAGTTCAAGTCCTGGCTGCTCCACTTCCAATCCAGCTCCCTGTTAATGTGCCTGGGAAAACAATGGAGGATGGTCCTGGTGCCTGAGCCCCTGGGCCATTTGGGGAATGAACCAACAGATGGAAGATCCTGCCCTCTACCCCCGTCTCTCCCCATCTCTTTGAAATTCTGGCATAAATAAATAAACCTTTAATGAACCTGAGGGCAAGTGTTTGGCCTACAGGATAAGATGCCCCCACGATCCTTCAGTGACTGGGTTGGATGCACGGCTCCAGGTTTTGACTCTGGCTTCCTGATAATACAGAACCTAGGAGCCAGCAGTGATGACGTGACGGGGGTCCTGTCATTCATGCGGAAGATCTGGGCTGAGTTCCTACTTCACTTCCAGAGAGGAAACTCCTGCGGTTATTTGGAGAATGAACGAGCATGTGGGAGATCTCTTTGCCTCTCAAATATTTGAAAGGCAGAGTTACAAAGAGAAGGAGAAGAAGGAGAAGGAGAGGGGGAGGGGGAGGGGGAGGGGGAGGGGGAGGGGGAGGGGGAGGGAGAAGGAAAGGGAGAGGCAGAGGCAGGGAGAGGCAGAGGCAGAGACAGAGACATCCCATCCGCTGGCTCCCTCCTCAGTTGGCTGCGACAGCCAGAGCTGTGCTGACCCAGGAGCCTGGAGCCTCTTCCCGGTCTCCCGCGTGAGTACAGGGGCCCAAGGACTTGGGCCATTTTCCATTGCTTTCCCAGGCCACAGCAGAGAGCTGGATCTGAAGAGGAGCTGCTGGGACTTGAACTGGCGCCCTCATGTGATGCCGGTGCTTCAGGTCAGGGCTTTAAGCTGCTGTGGCACAGCACCAGCCACAAGAATTTTTTTAAAAAGTAAAATAAATGAGTTTAAAAGTTTCGCCCTAATTATTCTGTGACATATTGCAAATGCACGAGAGGAGAGGCAGAGAGAGAAAGAGAGAGGGAGAGGAAGAGGGCGAGAGCGGTCTTCCATCCGCTGGTTCACTCCCCAATTGGCCACAATGGCTGGAGCTTTACCGATCCGAAACCAAGAGGCAGGAGCTTCCTCCGGTCTCCCATGTGGGTACAGGGGCCCAAAGACTTGGGCCATCTTCTACTGCTTTCCCAGGCCATAGCAGACAGCTGGATTGGAAGTGGAACAGCCAGGGCTCGAACTGGTGCCTATATGGGATTCCGGCGCTTCAGGCCAGGGTGTTAATCCACTGTGCCACAGTGCTGGCCCCTAAACCACTCTTCTTCTTTTTTTTTTTTTGACAGGCAGAGTGGACAGTGAGAGAGAGAGACAGAGAGAAAGGTCTTCCTTTGCCGTTGGTTCACCCTCCAATGGCCGGCGCGCTGCGGCCGGCGCACAGCGCTGATCTGATGGCAGGAGCCAGGAGCCAGGTGCTTTTCCTGGTCTCCCATGGGGTGCAGGGCCCAAGCACCTGGGCCATCCTCCACTGCACTCCCTGGCCACAGCAGAGGGCTGGCCTGGAAGAGGGGCAACCGGGACAGAATCCGGCGCCCTGACCGGGACTAGAACCTGGTGTGCCGGCGCCGCTAGGCGGAGGATTAGCCTAGTGAGCCGCGGCGCCGGCCCCAACCACTATTCTTAAAATGACTTTATATTCTGGCTTGATACCTGCAACCTAACCAGGGAAATCTTAACTTTTGTTTGAAATTATACAAAAAGCTGAATATAGTTCTGCATACAGTCCTACGGACTTACTTTTAAGGGTACAGGTTAAAAACTTGTCATGGGACTCCAATGCCATTAAAATTGGTGGTAAAAACGCCATCTTACTTGTTACAGTGGCCCTATTAGGTGTTAACGTGAACATCTGGATAGCATTAAGTGTTGAAGAGATCACGTAAATAACATCAAGTACCTGCTAATAATAATAGAATTAAAAAGGAGGAAATGTCCATGGGAAGCAGTCCACACAGCAGTCTATAACACTCTGACCTCAGAATCAACCCTTAAGGCTTCCTGGTCTGGCTGAAAGGCTTATGAGTGCATTTCAGACATGGAAAGCCAAGACACTGTGGCACAAAATATCCTACATAAAGGATCTCTGTGAGTGACCCCAGTGGAAAGAAGGGGCCATCAAAGAAAGATGTACTCTTCTCTAAAGGAAGGAGAGTGTGGGGAGCAACTCGGACTAGACTAAGTTACTGGAATTAAGACTTATTCTATGCATCTGCTCTCCCACAATATGGCGCTGGGAGAGGAGGAAACAGCTTTTACACAGCTGCCTCCAGTTCAACCAATAAACTGTGGGACTTACTCCTGATTGGAGGAGAGCAGCGTACTCGGCGTGTGGGTAGCAGAGTTGGGATTGGCGGAAGAGGACTATAAAGGAGGAGAGAGACAACATGCACCAGGAACATCTAAAGGGAACATCTAAGGGGAACACCTGTGCAGCCCCCGAGAGAGCCGGCCGGCGGTGTGCTGCTCCCCTGCGGAAGTGGGGAAAGTGGCCAGGGGGAACTGCCCTTCCACGGAGGTGGAAGGGTTGGTAGCCAACCCGGGAAGAACCAGCAGCAAACCCGGGGAGGGCCAAGCAGACAAAAGAACAGTGCAGGGTCCTGTGTCGTTCCTCCATGAAGACGGGGAGCGACATAATGGTGCCGTGACTCGGATATGAAGCCTAGGCAGGGTTTAGTGTCGTTCCTCCACGAAGAGGGGGAGCGACAGGAGAGAACTTCCACTTTGATTTTGGCCCTGTCTAAATACTGACAGAGTCTGTGGTCACAAAAGGCTTCCATAGCCTTGGCAGCTCTTGGCAAGAGCCTGGAATGATCACTGACGGCATAAATAAGAGTGTCAGTTGTTAAATGAACAACAGACATCACTGTGCACCTGCTCTCCATGTAGGACCTCTGTCCTTAATGAGTTGTATGAGAATTAACTGCAAAATTTGTTCTCAAACTGTACTTTATATGTTATATGTGTGCTGGGTGCAAACTGTTGAAATCAGTGCTTAACATAGAGTTGGTCCTCTGTATATAAACTAAAAATGAACCATAATGAAGAATGGGATGGGGGGGTAAAGAACACTATATTCCTAAAGTTGCACCTATAATATATGCACTCATTAAATAGAAGCTTTAAAAAAGTCTTATACTGCCAGATAACTCAGCGTATTATCCAAAGTACAACAGAACTTGCAAGCCTTTATGTTTCTTAACAGTCTTATAAAGTGCAGTAACCTAACTAGTCCTTCTACCCCAAGTCTTTTATCACCTCATTAACTGAGAATCACTCATTTTGCCTATCTGTTCAACAGGTGTACATACCCTGCCCGCCCGCTCAGAAAAAACTTATATACTAAAACTAAAATGAATTACATCTTTTGAATGGAGATTGAAGACATTTAGTTCAAAACAGTTCGTTCATATAATGGTTTCAAAAATTCACACTGATTCTAGTATCAACATAATGAAAAATGTTGAAGTGTAAAATGAGTAATTTTTCCCAAGTAGGAATTCAGTTATCAAACAGATCAAATCTAAACAGCAAATTTTTCTGAAAGGGATAGGAATCCTTTTCATAGTAGACTCAGAAAGGAACTCAGAATTAATGAAGCAAGTACCTCCCAACTTCTGTCTTGTCAGGCCCCATTTTTTTTTTTTTGGGCCAGTTTTGGCTCTAAAGTTCATTTGCAAGAGATATGCACCACAGCAACTTCCAGCAGGCCCGTTCTGAGGGTTTCTCACAGTCCTGAACGCCAGCGACAGTGATTTCCTGGCGCTTTTCTGCACGTTCTTGAGATGTTCCGACTGACCCTGTGTCCTGGCTTTGTCGGCATGCGTGTTTGCTCTTTGCAGGAACCGCATTTCATCTTTATCCTGCACCATAAACACTTCAGCTTTAGTTCCCAGTCGATTTCCTACATCTTCACTAGCATACATTAAAACCAAGCCTCCTAAAAATGGGAAAGGACTTACGTAGACATCTCTCCCAAGAACACAGCGGCCACCAAGCACTTGAAAAGATGATCACCTTTAGTCACCAGGGAAATGTCTATGGCATTTATACTACTAGGGGGGGTATCATAAAAACAAACAAAACCCCAGAAACTAGCAAACGGTGATGAGGACATGGGAAAAACTAGAACCTTCTTCCATTTCTGTGGAAATATAAAAAGGTGCAGCAGTTCAGGAACAGACCTCAGAGTTAGGATCTGACCTCGTAATTCCACTCCTAGGTACGTGTCCACACAAAAACCTGCACAGAAGTATTCCCTGACAGCATGATTCCTGAGTGGATGCTGAGGTTTGGATACAGCCTGAATCCATCTGCTAAGGCCTCGTGCGTTACATACTTAGTCCCCAGTATGGTGGTATTATCAGGAGGGAACTTCTAAAAGATAGCGCTTAGAGGGACAGCAGTGTGGTACAGCAGGTTAAGCAGCCATCTGCAGCCAGCATCCCATACGGGTGCCAGTTTGAGTCCCGGCTGCTCCACTTCTGATCCAGCTCCCTGCTAATGCGCCCAAGTGTTTGGGCCCCTGCACCCGAGTGGGAGACCCACAAGAAGCTCCATGCTGCAGCCATTTGGGGAGTGAACCAACTGATGGAGGCTCACTCTCTCTACCACTCCCACCCTCCCTCTGTAACTGCCCTTCAAATAAATCAAAACCTAAAAGCTTAGTGAGAGGTGTTAAGTGCCTTGAGAAGAGAGTGAGGTAGTTCCATGGCACCCCCGTGGGCTCCTGTGACAATGCGATGTTAGCAGAGAGTGAGCCTGCCCCTCTCCTGCCACGTGAGCGCTCACTCAGGCATACCCACCACGTGGTGTGCAGCCAGGAGGGGCCTCCCCAGCCTTCGCAGGTGGGAGCTAAGCAGCCTCTTATTTATTGAGCACCCAGCCTTGGGCACGCATCCCTGCGGCGGAATAAAGGCCTGAGACACTCACCAAGTGGGAACAACTTCAGTGTCCTTCAGCTGGCGACCGAATGACCAGAAGTAGTACTCAGCCCTATACAGGAACGGCTGACCGACACACAGCACCCCGTGGCGAGCCTGCGCACACCAAAGCGGCCGAAAACCACAGGCACACCTAACACCCTACATCTACAGTGCCCAGCGCAGGCAAACCCACGGAGACGAAGTGGACACGTGAGGAGGCAGGCAGGGCGAGGGGCTGGGGGCCATGTTGTGAGGGGCGAGGGAACCGTGTGCGGCCAGGCGGCGGCCTGCGATGGAGACCCCGTGAGGAGTCGCCGAAGGTGCACCTGAAAACGGTGTCAAGGCTGCGCTCCGCCTCCACCACGAAGCGCTCGTCGTGTGCACGTGCGTTTCTCGGTGTCCGACACGGGGACGGCCCCCACTCGGAGGGGTCCACGCGAGCTCGCACAGGCGGGGCCGCAGCTCCCCCGCGACACGGACCGCCCTCAGGGCACAGGACACTCAGCTCCACGTGGACACCCGCGGCAGGGCTAACACGGCGCTGGGCCCGTGATCTCCCACAGCATCGGTCTACACGGGCGCTCGGCCCGTGACTTCGCTCCCACAGCATCTGTCTACACAGCACACCTATCACGATTTCTCACAGCATCTGTCTACACGGTGCTCGGCCCGGGATCTCCCACAGCATGTCTACACAGCACACAGCCCGGGATCTCCCACAGCATGTCTACACGGCGCTCGGCCCAGGATCTCCCACAGCATGTCTACACAGCACCCAGCTCGGGATCCCCCACAGCATGTCTACACAGCACCCAGCCCGGGATCCCCCACAGCATGTCTACACAGCACACAGCCCGGGATCCCCCACAGCATCTGTCTACACAGCACACAGCCCGGGATCTCCCACAGCATGTCTACACAGCACACAGCCCGGGATCTCCCACAGCATGTCTACACGGCGCTCGGCCCAGGATCTCCCACAGCATGTCTACACAGCACCCAGCTCGGGATCCCCCACAGCATGTCTACACAGCACCCAGCTCGGGATCCCCCACAGCATGTCTACACAACACACAGCCCGGGATCCCCCACAGCATGTCTACACAACACACAGCCCGGGATCTCCCGCAGCATGTCTACACAGCACACAGCCCGGGATCTCCCACAGCATGTCTACACAGCACACAGCCCGGGATCCCCCACAGCATGTCTACACAGCACCCAGCCCGGGATCCCCCACAGCATGTCTACACAGCACACAGCCCGGGATCCCCCACAGCATCTGTCTACACAGCACCCAGCTCGGGATCCCCCACAGCATGTCTACACAACACACAGCCCGGGATCTCCCACAGCATGTCTACACAGCACACAGCCCGGGATCCCCCACAGCATCTGTCTACACAGCACACAGCCCGGGATCTCCCACAGCAGCGGTCTACACGGCGCTCGGCCCAGGATCTCCCACAGCATGTCTACACAGCACCCAGCTCGGGATCCCCCACAGCATGTCTACACAACACACAGCCCGGGATCCCCCACAGCATGTCTACACAGCACACAGCCCGGGATCTCCCACAGCATGTCTACACAGCACACAGCCCGGGATCCCCCACAGCATGTCTACACAGCACCCAGCCCGGGATCCCCCACAGCATGTCTACACAGCACACAGCCCGGGATCCCCCACAGCATCTGTCTACACAGCACCCAGCTCGGGATCCCCCACAGCATGTCTACACAACACACAGCCCGGGATCTCCCACAGCATGTCTACACGGCGCTCGGCCCAGGATCTCCCACAGCATGTCTACACAGCACCCAGCCCGGGATCTCCCACAGCATGTCTACACAGCACCCAGCTCGGGATCCCCCACAGCATGTCTACACAGCACCCAGCTCGGGATCCCCCACAGCATGTCTACACAACACACAGCCCGGGATCTCCCACAGCATGTCTACACAGCACACAGCCCGGGATCCCCCACAGCATCTGTCTACACAGCACACAGCCCGGGATCTCCCACAGCATGTCTACACGGCGCTCGGCCCAGGATCTCCCACAGCATGTCTACACAGCACCCAGCTCGGGATCCCCCACAGCATGTCTACACAACACACAGCCCGGGATCCCCCACAGCATGTCTACACAGCACACAGCCCGGGATCCCCCATAGCATGTCTACACAGCACACAGCCCGGGATCTCCCACAGCATGTCTACACAGCACACAGCCCGGGATCTCCCACAGCATGTCTACACGGCGCTCGGCCCAGAATCTCCCACAGCATGTCTACACAGCACACAGCCCGGGATCTCCCGCAGCATGTCTACACAGCACACAGCCCGGGATCTCCCACATCATGTCTACACAGCACAAGGCCGGGATCCCCCACAGCATGTCTACACAGCACACAGCCCGGGATCCCCCACAGCATGTCTACACAGCACCCAGCTCGGGATCCCCCACAGCAGCGGTCTACACAGCACACATATCACGATTTCTCACAGCAGCGGTCTACACGGCGCTCGGCCCGTCATCTCCCACATCATGTCTACACAGCACACAGCCCGGGATCCCCCACAGCATGTCTACACAGCACACAGCCCGGGATCCCCCACAGCATCGGTCTACACAGCACCCAGCTCGGGATCCCCCACAGCAGCGGTCTACACAGCACACATATCACGATTTCTCACAGCAGCGGTCTGGCCTACACGCGGGGCGCAGAGCCCGAAAGCAGGGAGAGAAGTCACCTACTTCCACAACCACACGGAGCGGCTGGAGGCCGAGAGCGCAGGGCGGCGCCAGGGACGACCCTGCGGGGCCCGGAGGGGCGCGCCCGGCCGCAGGGCTCCGGGAACTCGGTCCGCGCAGGGCGGCCGCTGCTCTGCACCCAGCACCCAGCACCGCGCTCAAACCCGCGCGACGCAAGGCCGCCCGCCGCGTCACCGCGCCGCCGCCCGCCGCCATTCCCGAGGCCGCCGGCCCCGACCCACGCGGACGCCGGGGCCGACTCCCTTACCTCGTCCACAGCCGAAGCCATGGTCCGGCGCGGGCAGGCCGAGGCCCGAGCTGCAGCCGCGCGAGCGCCGGGAACAGGAAACGCCGCCCGAGCGCGCTCACCCCGCGCACGGACCCGCGGCCCGCGTACACCCGACCGTGCGCCGCCCGCTCCCGCACGCGGAGCCTCTGGAACCTTCGCGAGCCCGCCCGCCCGCCTCGCGCAGCTCCGCCCCGCCCCGCCCAGATCTCGCGAGCGAACCGGCCGGCCGAGAGCCACGCCCCTTCCTCCCCGCCCGGGGAACGGAGGCTTTAACCGCGCAGGCCACGCCTGCGCAGTCGCAGATTGGACCAGCTGCCTTGACGCAGCCCCGGAAATAACGCAGAGAGCTTCCGGCACGAAGCGGAAGTCGGCTAGAGAGGCGACTGCGTGCGTCCGCTCTAGGACGCCGGACTAGTGAGGCGGCCATGTTAGCGAAGGCTTGGTTGAGCCTCCGGGAGGAGGGAAAGGGATGCGAAGGCGCAGCCTCGTGAGGTGAAGGCGGCGCAGAAGAAACGTGATAGTCATGGAGAATGACTGCAGGGAGCAGTTTGATTTTCAGCGGGTTCGGCGCCGGGAGACGTCGCGGCGACCTGGCGTGCAGGACGCTGTGACGTCATCACGCGGCCGAGGCTGGAGGTGGGGCTGTGTTGACCCCGTGGTGGGCGCGGCAGCACCGGGTTTAGGGTTGCCAGCAGGTTGCTTCACCGTGACCCGCAGGACCGGTGACGTCGGGGACTGGTTCTGGCAGCCCCGCCCCACGTTTTGATGGTGATTGATGGTTATTCCCTGGCCGCCACCAGACGCCCGCAGCACCGTTGAGGACAAACCGAGCTCCCGGGGAGGCCTGACAGCCCGCGCTGAGCTCTGTAGGTCCGCGGTGCGCGGCGCCTTGGGAACGCACGCCTGGGCCCTCCAGGGACGTGCCGCGAAGGGAAGGAGCCAGCGCGCGGGAGCTGGCGGCGCTGGGTTCCGAGCCCACGACGCCCGGAGGCGGCTCGGCCTGCTCTCCCGGCGGATTCTGGCTTTGCCTGTGGCTAGAGACGTTTGCGCTTCGTGGAGACCTCACAAAGCTAAGCTTACACGGGTGGCGCTGCTTTGTAGGGTGCCCTTCGGGCCTGGAGAGTTTCCCAAGGCGATAGAAATGGTGCACTGATGACGTCAGAGTTCCCGGGGCGGGCCAGGAGCCCTATTGCGTATTAACTGCACCTGTTTTTAAAGTGTCTAGAATTCGCAAGTGCTTAATTAAGAGGGAGCAACTAGCCATCACGGTGAAACGTGACCTGGTGACGTGGCCACCTCGTTCTCTGTAACTGCCCAGGCCATGGCGTCATGCTACGTCTTCAGTCGCAGTCCCCGCAGCCCGTCTGGTGGCGAGTCTTCACACTACATCTACACGCAGACCACTTCCCACGCCTTCACTGCTGCCAGCGGGTGGGGCTGACCTATCCCCAAATACGGCAGTGGGCCTACTGACTAAGCTGAGTTTGCAGGGCTGTCTCTGACTTCCCCCTCATTCACGCCGGAAGCAGGTCTAAAACCCTCCCTGGAGAGGTGCCCTTACACCTGGAGGAGAGGAACACCCTTATCTCCGAACCGCAGGGGCGCAGCAATGGGAGCAAACCTTGCTAAGTCCCCCCCGGGTTATTACCCTGACAGCACACTGTTTGGGGCCTAGCCTGTGTTTTCTACAACTCCCCATTCTTCATCAAACCTGCTATTCAAAGAAACAGCGCTGGGTCCAGTGGCACACCTGGTTAGGCCATGGCCTCAGCACCGGGTTCCTGTCCAGCTGCTCCACTTCCAGTCCAGCTCCCTGCTATGGCCCGAGAAGCACCAGAGGGTGGCCCGAGTGCTTGGGCCCCTGCACCCACATGGGAGACCTGGCTCCTGGCATGGGACTAACCCCAGGCTGATGGGACTGTTTGGGGAGTGAGCCCGCAGATGGAAAATTGATCTGCGTCTCCCCTCTCTAACTCTGCCTTTCAAATAAAATCTGAACGATAACCACCATCACCGAGTTTAACTGTTTCTTCAGGTCTTTGTTTCCTTATGAAGGATCTCATGTGAAACTTACACAAATTTGTATGTTTTTCTTGTGTTCATCTGTCTTGTTAGAGGTGCCCCAGACAATGGACCTAAGATGGGTGGACGGAAAAATACATTTTCCTGTCCTACATACTTAAGACCAATCCGTCATTCATTATGTTGTCTGGATTTTTACTTTTATTGTTTTTTCTCCCTCCCCATTAGGTCTTTACGGTTCATTTTTCCCAGAGTGGAATAATCCTTTGAAACCGTCCTACCCCTTTGCTCAGAAGTCCCTCACAACCTTTCTGTCAGGCCTGGAGTAAAGTCTGCCGCGGAATGCACTTGAGACTCCTCACCTCGCTGTCGGATGCCCTGCGTGGACTTCCCTTTGTGTCTTCTTTCACACAACTCCTCGCTCACCGCTCTCTCCTCTCCCAGCTTCGCACACTGCCATTTTTTAGTTTCCTCGAACAGACTGGATTTGCTCTCTGCAACGCTGTGTTCAAACCCACTGCCTGAAATACTCTCCCCAGATCAACACAGAGCTCACTTCTCAAGTAACACCGGGGAGGCTCCTCCAGACTGTGAGCTAAGAATCAGTGGGAGATAGGTGCGATCATCAGCCATCCCCCATCCACACACAGAGGTTCTGCTTTGGTCAGCTGAGATTCCGCATGTTTGTTCTTCACTGAGAGGCAATGCCCATGCTGGTCCACTCCCCAAATGCCTGGAACAGCCCGAGGTTGGGCGAGGGCCAGAGCTGGGAGGCAGGAACTCAACCCAGATCTCCCATGTGAGTGGCTGGAACCCAGTTACTTGCACCAGCATCCCAGTAGGAAGCTGGAATCAGGAGCTGCAGGTGACTGTTGAACACAGGCCCTCCATTATGGGACACGGGCATATTAAACACCGTCAACTGCTAGGCCAAAGACCCTCCTCTGATTAATATTTTTTAAACAATGCTGAATTTCTTTTTTAATCAGGCAGAGTTAGACAGAGAGAGAGAGAGAGAGAGAGAGAGAGAAAGGTCTTCATTCCGTTGGTTCATCCCCCAAATGGCCACTATAGCCGGCGCATTGCGCCGATCCGAAGCTAGGAGCCAGGTGCTTCTCCTGGTCTCCCATGCGGGTGCAAGGCCCAAGGACTTGGGCCATCCTCCACTGCACTCCCGGGCCACAGCAGAGAGCTGGTCTGGAAGAGAGGCAACCGGGACAGAATCTGGCACCCCGACCGGGACTAGAACCTGGGGTGCCGGCGCCACAGGTGGAGGATTAGCCTAGTGAGCCGCGGCGCCGGCCAACAATGCTGAATTCTAACGTGAGCTTATCAACCTAAACTTTCAGTCATGGACACCTAAAACAAAAGACCAAGTGCAAATCAGACATCACTTAGAGTCTGCACGCTGCCTGTTTTCTAGTGTTTGAATTGTGTCACCACCATGCTGTGACTCAAAGGACCAGCAAAGCCACCTGAGCCAGGATCAGCCAGATTCTCTAACTTGAAGAGAAGACATTTGAATGCAGAAGCATTTAGAAGTAGAGAAGTCTCACTTCCAGATAGGAATGACGCAGCAAAGAATCACCTGGAAAACGTGCAGGAGAGCAATCGTGAGAACAGCTGCTGGTGACATCCTAGTCCCTTGTCCAAGTGCCCTCAAGCCCAGCTGTGTAGCCTGCGGGAGATACACAAGCATTCCTGATTACCTCTTCCCTGCTGCTGACATGAATCCAGTCTCAGAGTCCATTGCTTGTAACCAAGGAGTGTCCTCCCTAGAAAGGGGAGAGGCAGTGTTGCTGAGCAGGGTACCACTCTGCAGGTGTATTCTGTGTGTGTTTCCTCTCTCAGTTGCCTGGAATTTAGTGCCTGGTAAGAAGTGTTACAGGAACACTGGGTTCAAGTGATTCAGAATCAAGCCAACCAGAAAAAAATCAGAAGGACATGTATGGACTTCGGAACAAATGTTTATTACTATTTCTTGTCGCCAACAGGGCGACACGAGGCATCGAGAACACCACTGACTCACAAACACAGTCACCTTGTTACTTTCTGGGTTGCATTTGTTTATTTCACAAGCCTTCATTCACACATGAAAATAAGGTACTAATCCAATTCAAGTTCATTACAATTATAAAAGTAAACATTTGTTGGGACAATGTTCAATAAATTGCACTTTTCTTGACAAGCATTACATTTGCATTTACAGAGTGTACTATACATATACATGAGTTATGGAAACATCTAACTGGTCAGTGTTCACTGAGGAAGAGGCTGTCCACTGTCTGCTTCTCTTGTGGTCAGTTAGCACTGTTTGGACTAGTCAGCTCTTTTATTCTCTAGAACTTTTCACTAGAGATGTCGGCAAAATCATAGAATTCATAAAAACAGGTAGGATAGAGTTTTTTCTACCTCCTCAGCAAGGGAAAAGTAGGATTTGGAGAGGAAGTAAATGGGGGCTGTCTGAGAAACGTATTCCCTCATTTGAACTAAGCACCCATGCATTACACAAAGTGCCCACGACAGAGGAACTAACTAATCAAAAGGCTGTTGGGACACCTCAGATGTCGGGACAGTCTCCAGCTTTGTTCTTGTGCTTTGATGACATCAGGGCCTTGACACATTTGTGGTCTCACAAACCAGTTTCCTATACTTTATGCCATATTTGAGAGTTATTAAATGTTACACTTCACTGGAAAAGATTTTACCTGTTAACTAATTGCCAACAAAAAAGCAGAGTAACTTAGAATGTTCATTTTTGACTCAATGATTCTTTTCTCTTACTTTTCAGGATGATGAAACCAGGGTGCAGTTGGGAGAACGGGACATACTCCTGAAGTGTATCAGAGCATATCAGGTGCTGACAGCAGGTAGCAGATTCACCTGGCGCCCGTAAGGGTGACATGCATGCATTCCTTTAGATGGGAACTCAGGAAGGAGCACCAGCCAGCTGACCACTAAGCTCAAGAGCATCCACTTTCCTCACTGCAACCAAGATCAGCATCTCCTACTGAGGTACAGTCCCCACGGACGGCCGCACTGCGGGAGCTTTTACAAGACAGTTGCTAAGGTAGAGTCTGACCTGCGTCAGAGGAAGCCACTAGGAGAGAGGAAGCAGGGTTAGTAAGAACATCAGTATGGCGACTGGACAGAGTGTCGTACTGGT